CAATATTCAACAGATGTCTTAACAACAGCATATATTATAAATAACTTGCTTTGTATAGTTTTGCAGTCTTAAATATTCATATGCCAAAATAGTTGTTTGATCTCTGATTTTACCGATTGTGTGTATTCCACTTGTGCAATTTAGACGTACTGTGGATTTCCAAGGTGGATAATGCATATGCATTACAGGAGACGCCTACCTTGTCGACGCACCCAATCACGCACAATAGGGTGTTCATGTGATTCCCTCAGTATTTGTTTGTATCTTTGATTTGTCTTCGTAATCGATTTATGAGATTTGAACATTGGTAAACTACTGTTGTTTAAATGTTTGTAGTCATGGATAAGATCTAAAGGTTTGACTCTTTTCTGCGCTATGTCGTGTGGACCAAGAGTAATCTAAAATGTCATAAGAAGATATAAAAATGTAAGCTGTTTGCAATTATAAAATGTACATTGGTAAAATGATTCTGATATGTTCTGATTTACATCAACTATTGGAAAGAAATATTACCTGATTACCAAAGAAACACAAATGGTAATAGGTCTGATGTAAGTAGCCTTTGTCAGTTGTTAGTGTTTAAAAATACTTGTCATGCTATGTTACTTTCGATTATCTATACGGTATCGCCTGTTTAAAAAACATACGTGAAAATGTGCAGTCTATAGATTCTATAACCAATAAAATGGAACCGAGTTCAAACTGTAATACAAATTACAGTATACAATTTTTTTGTTTGCTTATTAAAGTCTTTCAATATAAAGTGGTAACAAAAATGCTTTTAAAACTGTAAATTATATTTTATTGCATACTTGCATGCAGTGTAAGTCGAATTTTGATTCAGAAGTACTCCTTTTATGCTACTTTAAATTCAGAAATTATTGCGTTCAATTATTATTGCAATTTTTGTGGAAAGGACAAAAATGCGAGATTATATCAGATATCAGAAAGCGAGTTCTTATTATTGCGATACTCACTCAATTGCATTATTCGCATTAATAAAAACCTCGCAAAAATTTCTGAATTTACAGTATATGATTTTTAATCGATTAACTATGGAAATGAATTCGTATCTTCAAACGTAGGAATGATCATATTCTATAATATTTGCCTGATTCATGTTATTCAGAAAGCATTGAAATCGGTATAGAACCTGCACTTTATCAAGCAGATGCATCTTCTTGAATTATTAACGATTTAGAAATACAACCACAATGTCCCAAAGAACAAACCACCATAGTGTAGCTAAATATAAATCTAATTTGATTTAAACAAAAACTGATGGCATCGCATCCGTTCGGAATTTCAAGTCATGTCCCCGTACAGAAGGTCCAAAGCCGTAAAGTTACTATAATATTACAGTTAACATTTCTGAATGGGTTTAATGCACTTGACGAAAACCATTAACGTTATTCGTTTAATATTAGTAATGACTTAATTTTCAATTGAGTACGCATTTTTTCTGGTTACTGAAGATATAATAACAGACGAAATAATATTTTTCAAAGCAGATAAAATAGCAAAGTATTCTGGCAATTAACTCTATATGAGACAAAGAATTAATGAGCTTCCGAGGTATTCATAATATTGACATGTTCCCTTTTAGATATAAAAGGTTATGTGCCTTAAGCTTGTCAATTGAAAGAAACACTTTATGTTCTAAATGAAAAATAAAGAAGCACACGGAATTGGGTCTTCACAATTAAATGAAAAATCACCAAGAAAAACATCAGTACAAAAAGAGACCCCATTCACAAATTTAAAAAATGGTTAGGGATTGCCCTCCCATAAGCGACAGATCTTGATAACTCAAAAACACTGCCAAATAGCAACCAAGTATATTCACGGAATTTGGTACCTGGTGGACAGTTGTCTTATTGGCAAACATACCACAAATCCTTATTTTCATATAAGTAGCATGAGCATATCTGTACCACATATCTACTTCTTAAATTGAGTATTGTACCGCCGAAAAAAAATCATCTTTTATCCGGAAAGTGATTTATCGCAGCTACTTTTGCTGTAATCCACTCCTTAGTTAAGCTGTCATCCATGCAATACTATCATCTATAGGGGAAGGAAAGGAACAAGAAAACAATTTCATCATCTGAATTTTAATAACGTCAATTGAAATATTTTGCATCTAGTCATATTTCGATTTATTTGTTGCTTCTGGTGATAGTGCCGAAATTAAACACACCGAAATACAAGATGAACTGATGGTGGAAAACGAAAGACATCGAAAAGACAAACCATTCGACAAAATTATACATAGAAAACTAAAGTCTGAACGACAAGAACCCAACACAAATTTGACGTGTAATCAGGTGCTCTGGGAATATCAAATTATGGCAATTATTATGCTCTGATTTTTTTATTTATTCTTTCAATTATTATCATAATGATGTTTGTTTCTGATTATTTTGTTGTATTTCAAGTGGTGTCAAAACAATATTTATTCATATACTGAATTAAACTAATTGAACATTGAATTCCATTATTGGAAAACTAAATTATGTGGTACAGTAGATTCAAAGTGCCAAAATGTGACAAAACACAATGTACACGTTGCTGGAGTTTTTTTTTTTTTTGTGTGTGAAAACCGCCAAATTATCACGATTGACAATATTTAAATATCTTAAAAACGTTTATTTTAAATTGTATTTCCTGATTTAGATGACAAGAAACATAACAGACTGTATGTTTATTCAGTTTGTACTGTTTTTGTTGATAGAAATAAAAAGCTTTTTAAATTAATGTAAAGTTATCAGTACCTTGGCAATATTTCTTTTATTATTGTGGAAAAGTGTTGAACTATACTACTTCCACTGATTCACTGTTCTTGAGATTTTCACAATTATAACAACTGAAGCGTTAGCTACTGCATCAAAGAGCGTAAACTTAATTAGCTATAGAAGCACGTCATATGTTACAATTGATTTTATTATCAAAGTGTAGTGTTTTCAATATCTCGATTGGAATGGCGGATTCAAAGTCTTGTTTAAACAAAATTTGATAAACTATTTCTTGAGTTAATATGAAATGATAAAAAAATATTCGAAAAAAAGATCATTGAACAAGTCATCTTTTCATTTATTTATCCTTTTTTTTTTAATTTATTTTAGTTCTTTTAACACTCTTTTCACAAATATGTTTAACTGTTTTAACATTATTTTCTATCAATTATAGTTTTAAGGCACACTATCTATGAGCATGATGAGTACATTTGCTAAGTGAACGTTTCAGAGAGAATTTTCTACATTAACGATAATATAGATACAGTAAATTTGACATGGTTTATAATAAAGAACGTCACTGTCAATAACCTTGCTATCATTGCATTGAATTAAAAAAATTAAGTGTTCGAATTCAAGGATGTTCGCCAAAAATGTTTTAACTTTTCCCTATTAATTTTTAGTGTATCAAGCATATCTGTGTGTATGCATTTATCAAATCATTCCAGCGATTTCCTATTTTTAAAAACTTTGTAGAAAAAAAAAATAACACTATTGATTTAATAGTTTGAAATTATTTTCATTTTTATATGTTTCATGATACAACTGAAAAAAAAATTTCATATGAAAACAGTTTATCCATGCAAAAATGTTTAACTGAATCCAGAAAACAAACACGGAATATCTTTATTTTTCCATATAATTATACACATCCATTGAAAAGGACGTCATTTATGAGGATTTTATTTAAATTTTACCAGCAAATATTCTTCAATTGATAAAATGTTCAGTATGAGAATTAAAAAGGTATAACTGTAATATCGTTAAAGATGTTAAAGGTTATCACTGTCTAGTAATACTAATGCACACGTCTGTTGGTATGACTTGGGATACGTGTTTCAAGCGCTTAAATGTATACATGTATACATTTGCATCGTATTGGTTATATTTCAATTAACTTTTCCAACAGCAACATGCACATACCATCATGTTTTTTTTTTTTCTCATTTAATATAATCTCTACGCTTTAAGGAATATGGCGTCAAATCTCTCTATATGTAGATAAAGATCCTATGCGATTTTTTTTTATATTACCGATCCTAGGACATATTTACTCAGCTATGTTTATTCTTTTGATTCCAACATGTTGATTTTTACAACAAACCCAATTTCCATATGAACATTGCAAACAATACGTTTAACTTGAAGTGCTGATCCACTATGAAATTCCTTGAATATATATATAACAAATTATATATTGATTACAAGATCTTCAAAGCTATATTACGTTTAGTTTGCATCTTTTCCTGAATGTTATCAACTTTTCATTCTTAAAGCGTTACGGATTTATATTATAAGATATCATTTAACACTTTTTGGAATTTTGGGTCCTCAATGCTCTTCAACTTTATACTTGTTTGGCTTTTAACTATTTCGATCTGAGCGTCACTGATCAGTCTTATGTAGACGAAACGCGCGTCTGGCGTATTAAGTTATAAGCCTGGTACATTTGATAATTATTAACACCAGTGGTCCTCGAAACCAAATATTGAAAATATCGGAAATACTAGAAACCTCAATATACAATGGAAGAATAAAGGGTATGTAAATTGATCAAATGCTACCAATAAAATATCCCGATTCATTTCATATCGAGTTATAGTAAATTTTATCTTCGTTCACGAAGATTCTTTTGAGAAAACTGGTTTAATATTGTATTTTTCAATCCTGTGTTAATGTAAAATGCATTAATAGAAAAAATAATAGAATGCATTAAGTTTATTACAAATCTTATAATGTAATCATACAATATACCTTTACAATGTTCCAAAAAGTCGTACAAGTGAGAGGTTTAGCGCTATAAAACCAGGTTCAATCCACCATTTTCTACATTTGAAAATGCCTGTACCAAGTCAGGAATATGACAGTTGTTGTCCATTCGTTTGATGTGTTTTGTCATTTGATTTTGCCATGTGATTAGGGACTTTCCGATTGAATTCTCGGAGTTCAGTATTTTTGTGATTTTACTTTTCTTTTTTTTTTGACACAAACAAAAATAAAATAAACATAAAACAAAAAAAATAATAGGAATGCACTGTTTTAATACCCTAAATAAAGGCAACAATAGTGTACCGGTGTTAAAAAGTCATAAATCGATTTAGAGAAAACAAATCCGGGTTACAAATCAAAATCGAGGGAAACACATCAACTATAAGAGGAAAACAAATAAACAACAGGAACACCGAAGTGCAACAAAAACAAACTTGGTACAGGACATTTTAAGAAAAAAATGGTGGGTTGAACCTGGTTTCTTGGCATGCCAAACCTCCCGCTTCTTGACAATGTTAAAAAATATCGCTAAACACTACGTGACAGAAATACAGCACAAACACACACAAGAACATTCATTACAGAGAAACGCACAAACAAATAAATAATAGTCGACACAACATACAAACCACAGAACAACAACGAACATATACTCCATCAACGAAAAACACCACAGGATATCAAAAACAGTGACGCGCTTACGTAACAAACATGCAATCTGGAACTTTATACAATTATTTTCACAATATTGGTCCAAACAATTTTCATGACAATAATGATATTGAAAGGCAATTTTATAATTATTTTGACTACAAACGATAAGACATAACAGATTATCTAACCTAAACCATAACAGAAACAACAAAATAAATTTATTATTGTTGGATGTACAAAACACCGAGACACGCCGCACAGCAATGTAAATTCACATTCAGTATAACAGTCATATTCGGGAATATGACAATGATGGTATTGTAGGGCAATTTTATAATTATTTGGACAGCAAACGATACGACATAACACATTATTCAACCGAAACCATAACAAAAACTTCAAAAAATAAAAACATGAATGTTGGATGTACAAAATACCGAGACACGTCGTATTGCAATGTAAATTCACTCTCGGTATAACAGTCATATTCGGGATAAGGTCACGTTCGGTACTTAGCAGACAGACGACATAGATGTTAAACCACAATCTAAGACGTGGTAAAAATGTCAAAAGTTAGTTTAGACACAGATACATCGTATAGATCAACCAATTCGTGATGGTGTCCATAAAATTTACGGAGTGTCATTTTTAATCTTTCCTCCTCATAACTCTGTTGGAGCAGTTTCTGCGTAAGGAGCACACTCCTGTATATGAAGTCAGTATAGTGTGAACATGCACGAGAATAACGTATCAATTGAGATATGTACACACCATATGACGGAGCAGAGGGTATGTTACTACATCTAAGAAATGGGAAATTGATAAGATATTTCACCATCCTCAGATGAATAATTTCAATTATTTCATTTTACAACTTTTTAATGTTTTTTATTGTAAAAAGGAATCTTCTTCCTTAAGTGTGAATTTTGCATACCTGTATAGGACAATCATCTAGTATCCTTATTTTACCCACTCTTTTCAACTTCTTACAGTAGTTCGAGCGTGCCTCCTGAATATTGAATTGTAATTTTAGAGTGCAGAAAAGTCGAAAGTATTTATATTGTATCTAACCTCAACGAGACTTATTGATGACTTACAAGAAATATTACTCGGCTGGGTCAAACCAAAGACTTGAAAATTGGCATTTAGGAGTAAGAGCAAAGACATGTCGGCTCGAAGTCAGAATGATATGTCCGGGTAGGGTGACATGTCAACCTCTGAACTGTTTACTTTGTGAACTAGAATGTTAAAAATCCGTCATACACTAAAACCGAAATACTAACATCGGTTTCTGTGCATAGTCACCTGTCTGATGAGACGATAGATTAATATCGCCTTTATTTACATGATTTGACATAACAACATTTTAATTATTTAAAAACAGTTTCCTTTCTTCGTCTTTTATTTTAAAAAGAAACAGAAATAAATATGATTAAGGCAATATATTGTGAGCCTGTCAGCAAATTAAGCGCCATTAAAAATACATTACATAATAAGATAAATAAAATGACGATTTGTATAGTAAAAAACATAACAATTAAAATAAAATCATTTCAGTCAGTTGCCTGTGTGGCGATGGGTGCCGTATGTCGATTGGTATACATTTATTCAACAGTAATGAGGGATATTACTATTTTCTTTTTTTCCAAAACACAGACTATTTCCCAATGCCCTGCGAAAGGACATAGTTTGTGTCGAGGGAAGCGTAAAATGGCTACATCCTGAAATAACTGTAAGACAACTGTTATATTATACCGCACTATCTAAGAAAAATGTAAACCCTTTTGAGAGAGATACAAATCTGTATCAGCTATTGCGTCTGATAAAACGTTATCTCTAATGTCGAAGTAGCTGAACGTCAAAACCAGAAACACACGAAGTATAACAAAGTTCGTGGAAAAGTTTACTGTTCCTAAGAAAAATAATCATTTTATCCGTATATTTGAATTCATACAGAAAAACATAGTGAGGTATGATAATAAATGTTATGCATGTTATGCTCTTGTTATTTTATGAGGGTCTGGATGGGGAAGGGGGTGGTCCTCCATTTCTGTATTCTTTAAATTTTAGGCAGTTTTTTTTTTCTATTCTTTATACTATATGCTAATTATTCTGTATTCTTTATATTTTTTGCCCATTATTCTCTATTCTGTAAACCCCCATTCACACCCTCCTTTATTCGCTCTAATGATTTCTATGTTGAAGTATTGCGCAATCTTCGGCTTATTGTCTTTACATCTGACAACATTTAAATGCAATATGAGATACCGATATACGTGCGCCCGACTCGATGTTACAGAATTACATTCATTCGCTACGCCAAAGAACAAATATGAAGAAAGTCAAAAACGCTTGACTCTGTTCGCATAAACACAATAACGACATGTAGTATTGTTCGGAATCAAAAACATATAAATAGTAGTTACAATCCTAAAAATAGTGTAACATCTTTTCTCTTCGCGAACGAAGAAATGTCTACTATGAAAGATTTTGGTTGTCAAAAATATCTCCTTTTCCAAATAGATCATCGAAGATCAATGAACTCGCTGTGATCTTTTCTTAAATCTTGAAAGCTAATCTAGACAGACTATCCATAGATTAAAAAAAAATAGAAAAATAGTTGCAGTTTGAGTGATCTAAGTGTTTAAAGTAATAACGAAACAATTTCTAAAATAAAACAAAACAAGTAGTTTCATCTAAAAATTTTCATTCTGCATCAGTATTTGATCGGGATCAATTCTGTTGTGTCATTTTTACACCAGGTGCGTTTATTTTGGCGAAGTTCATGACATTGATGTTCACAATATCTTTTGTATAAGTCGGTGAAAGTGTTGGCAACAACTGCTATGGGCATGCTCAAAAGAAACAAGCCAAAGGTTGCGCAAACTGATGCTAAAATCTGTCCACATTTTGTTTTTGGGTAAATATCCCCGTAACCGATTGTTGTCATGGTGATGATAGCCCAATAGAAACTGCTGGTTGGATCAGTAAAATCTCCATCCATTTCAAGAAGGTGCATAGTGATCCCAAAAATAATGGATGAAATAAGCAAAATCAAAACAAGTAAAAACAACATCTTCTTACTTTGTTTTATCGACAGAAGCATTATGCGTAAACCTTCTATGAAACGCTCAAGACGGAAAAATCTGAAACCGCGTAATATTACCAAAGCATACGAGAAAATGAAGAAGGATTCACTCGAATCAGGAAAGGCACATACTATAACGTGTGCAAAATATCCAAATACAGACATGATATCAACAATGTTTAAAAAACTTCGAAAAAAATCTAATTTACATGGACAGGTTGCAAAACGTAACGACGTTTCTAATGTGAAAATAACGTTGCAAACATGCGTTACAACGCCAATCCAATTATCGTGATCTGTTAGACGTTCTTTGACATCTTCTTCTGATTTCACGTTTTTAATTTCCTTCATATTCTTTTCCGTTAATTCAAACGATTGTATTACTGATACAAGAATGGCAAGGCACACAACACTCAGGTAAAATATCTGCCATACCTAAAAAAAATAACGATAATGATAATTATAATAATGACAAAGATAATAAAAATAAAGAACCTTAGTGAGCGCGCTCACATACCCCACGTCCCCACATTGTCATTGGAGAAATAAAATAAGTGTAAGAAACAAAAATTGAATCATAATTTCCTGTCAATATGCACATCTATATAGTATGTCCTTATTATCTACAAAGTTTCATGAAATTCTGTTGTGTGGTTTCAGAGGAGTTGCGATGACAAACTGTTGCAGAAGTACATTGAAGCAAATAAGTTCAAAGGGGCGTAACTCCTAGAAAAAAAATTGAATCGTAATTTCCTGTCGATATGCACATCTACATAGTATGTTCTTATTATCTAAAAAGGTTTCATGAAATTCTGTGGTGTGGTTTCAGAGAAGTTGCGATGACAAACTGTTGCAGTAGTACATTAAAGCAAATAAGTTCAAAGGGGTGCAACTCCTAGAAAAAAAATTGAATCGTAATTTCCTGTCGATAAGCACATCTACATAATATGTCCTTATTATCTACAAAGTTTCATGAAATTCTGTGGTGTGGTTTGAGAGGAGTTGCGATGACAAACTGTTGCAGTAGTACATTAAAGTAAATAAGTTCAAAGGAGCGTAACTCCTAGAAAAAAGAATTGAATCGTAATTTCCTGTCGATATGCACAACTACATGGTATGTCCTTATTATCTAAAAAGGTTTCGTGAAATTCTGTTGTGTGGTTTGAGAGGAGTTGCGAAGAAACAGGACTAACGGACTGACGGACTGACGGACTGACGGACTGACGGACTGACGGACTGACGGACTGACGGACGGACGGACGGACTGACGGACAGACGGACGGACGGACGGGTCAAAAACATTATACCCTCCGCAACTCGTTGCGATGACAAAAGGTTGCAGTAGTATATTGGGCAAATAAGTTCAGAGGGGCGTAACTCCTGGAAAAAAAATTGAATCGTAATTTCCTGTCGATATGCACATCTACGTAGTATGTCCTTATTATCTGAAATTGTTTCATGAAATTCTGTTGGGTAGTTTGTTGAGTTGCGATGACAAAAGGTTGCAGTAGTATATTGGGCAAATAAGTTCAAAGGGGCGTAACTCCTGGAAAAAAAATTGAATCGTAATTTCCTGTCGATATGCACATCTACGTAGTATGTCCTTATTATCTGAAAAGGTTTCATGAAATTCTGTTGTGTGGTTTGAGAGGAGTTGCGAAGAAACAGGACTAACGGACTGACGGACTGACGGACTGACGGACGGACGGACGGACGGACGGACTGACGGACGGACGGGTCAAAAACATTATACCCTCCGCAACTCGTTGCGTGGGGTATAAAAAGATAACGCGACATTTAGGTAAAGTCATTAAGCAGGAATATACACATTCATATACTCTTAAAGGTTTTTTTTTAAATTTTAAATGATTGAATTTTAAAGATATCAATTGAAGTTCATATTTCGAAAAGGAACTAGAATATTAAAAGCGCTTTGCTCCAAAAGACCCATTTGCATGCAATTACAGTTAGAACAAACCGTTTCTAATCTTGTAACAAACAACAAGTATAACTGAAAGTTTGAATGATTATTGTTTTATTATCCGATGTATACTATCTACTGTGGTACAGCATAGGAGTATACAATATTGCAACGACGGTTTATTTTTTACCAAAAGAAGATTTTACCGCATTATTTAATACATTTTTAGGACAGTCGATTTCACAGAAACGTCAGAGCGGTATTACAATGTTACTAGTTCGCAGATGCTTTCACCGTTCATACCACCATGCAAACCATTTGTTATGTAGTGTTTCAAACTAATTAGAAGATACGGATGTTGGTAGTAAACGGCAACAACATCTGTTGGGTTCGTGTGGTTCAATCTTTCGTTTTCTGTGTAGTGTTTAGTGAACTCTTTTACTATTCTTCTTTCTTCTTTGGAATGATGTTGTGCCTTTTTCGGCTGATGGCATTTTATTGGGTTCTTCTTTTCTATTTTTTTTTTAAATTGCCATGTATTCCAGAGTGACATAGCAAACAATTCTTTAACTTGTAAAAGTACACAGAAGCATTGTATGGACGTGTATACAAACAGTAATTATTTTGCAACCTGAGAATATCACTAGCTCAGTAGCCAGTACTGTCATGAAAATGCGGACCTTGTTTGATAAACATTTGCTGTTATAAAAGTTTTTAATCCTTTAATCATATTAAAAAGAGGATTTATTTTACCCATGAAAAATCCAATTATTTGTCCGGATTTGGCTATACTTTAGGTGCTTTTTGTTTTTGTTTAATCAGCTCTGCAACGTTTGTATTAGGTTTTGGATATTCACATATTTGGACCTCATGCATCAATGAAGAGACATTAATTGTGAAAATGTGCATCAGGTGCAGTAACATTAGCTTCGGTGGTGTTGTTTTCACTACTTATATCTAGACTTTTATTGAATTATTCATGTTATTAAACAAAAAAGAATCATAATCTATGAAGGTACTGGATAAGGAACAAACACTTGTTGAAAAATTAAATAAGAGAATATTATCGACTGTACAAAATTGACAAGTTGTACTTAACCTATCATGCAATAAGAAATATCTACAGCTTTAATTATAAAGCAAATGTGATAAATCAAAATTTTAAATTGATAAGTAATCATACTTTTCAGACTTCTTATATTTAAAAGCTCAACTTACAAGTAACAAAATAAACAAATATTGATGATTTATTTTTGGTTGGAGCCTGGCAACATGTTTTTCAAACCTATTTTGTACTGAAATTGAGATCACTTTACCATAATACAGTTTTAAGTAAACAAAACTACATGTTTTAACACTTGTTTAAAACATTTAGAAAAAAATTAGGAATAGGAAGTTAAAAAGTTCTTACAGGAAATAACAAATATACACAATAAGGAAGTTTATACTCGATACACAAGTCAAGTTATCTTGCCATTTTAATACAACTTCATAATATATAATTCAGTTTCACACGTTTATATTTCGTTCAGTCAATATTAGTTCAGATTGTTTTTCCCTTAGCTGTTTCATAAGTTTTTATCCAAGATTTTTTTTGGTAAACAGCATGATATTTTTTTCAAATATTCAAATATGAATACGAAGTTCAACTCATACTCTTTAACTATGAGATCTTTGTTTTGCTATCATGGTGATATGGGAGTTTTTACATTACTTATACAGCGACCTGTACACTTTTTGTTTTGTTTTCATAGTAATTCAAAATTAAGAACACTGAATTTCAAAGCCCCTTTTGTAAATTAACTTTTATGTAAAAAAAAATAACGGACAAGATATTAGTAACACAATATTCAGATCCACAGTAAACGTGTCTTGTATAGCTGATTATGCGATATGGGTGGTGCTCATGGTTGAAAGCCGGAAGGTGACCTATACTTGAAAACTTCTTTGTTATTTAAATGGTCTCTGGTGGAGAGTTGTCTCATTGGCAATCATACCACTTCCTTTTATCTTTATATGTAGATAATGTCGGACTTTTGATCTGACTTGTAGACAATCTTTGTTGATGTTATCGACCGATAAGTTTTGCGTCCTTGGAGAGAGAAAAATAACTTTATATGGGTAGCCCAACAAAATACTTGAAAACTACAAATAGTAGTATTTTATATACATTAAATTACAACATCGACCAAAGCTTCCAGTTTCTGGTTGTTTTTTTTTTTTTTTAATTCATCCCAGAATTTAACTTTATTATTCTGCTACAGTAAAAACTTACTAATGCAAATTTTGATGACCTTGGATTTTCCAGTACATTCAAAATTCTGCTTTTGACATTTGTAAGAGAGCTTTTCGAACTGTAATGAAAACACTGTCTCTGGAAAAAGTATGTGTCGATAACCCTGCATGTCCTCAAGTCACTATCAACGGTATAGAAATATTTCCAACAACATGGGCCGAGATCAGTGGTTGATATTTCCCAAAACTGAAGCTCATCACGAATTTGCTCTACGCAGATGTTGGAAAGGAAATGAAGTTTTCCTGTTCGATAATAGTCTAGTACGGACTGGAATATCAATGGATTCCTATCAAAGTAGTACACTTCAGTAGTTTTATCAAAATGTTCGCAGGTTTCAGAGATGTTCGCTAATTTTGTGTCCGGGTATCGTTGAAGAGTGCTCGTTTTAGTTACAAACGTTTGTCCACCTACATTTATTATTACTTTTTCAAACATCCTCGGTACCTTTTCTCCGGTTTATAAATTGTACATATATATAAGAGTGTAAATAATGAACGGAAATTATTGACGCTAATATTTTTAGATGTCCTCAATTTGAAAATAAAAATAGTCCGTTCATAAAGTTTCCTGTAAGCGCTGATTATATAACCACATGCAGCATCAGAACAGTTAGACACACAAATGTCGCCAAATAAAAATATCCGAGTCTCTCAAATGATCATCTATTCTGATGAATTATATTTTCTACTCATTTCAGTATCAAAATTACCAATAAATTTTAATATTTCGTATCAAATTCTGTGTTATTGTAACATATTTATAGTGACATTCAATAAAAATTCGAATTTAAACGCAATTACAATATGATATGACTTCTGATATCTCTACATCAAAATTAAAATTTCCATTTTAGTATCAATTATTCAGCTTGTAGTGAAATGTTGTTTATAGCAATGCATTAAATTACTACCAGACAACCATGTATTTCAATCAACTAATGTCCTAAACATATTCCTTCTAACAATTTTAATCAATATTTTATACTTTTTTCTTTGTCTTGAATATCCTGTTAGTAATTAGTTTACACATTATGTGATCACAAACATCGATTTAATCGTGTTTTAAATAAAGGAATATTTATTTATTATTGTAGTGGGATTTCAAATGCTTAACGTAAAGGTAGATTTTGCAAGTCCATATTTTTCTAGTTTTTGTTCCGAGAATTTGTATATACTTACAAACTTTATATCGAGGTCTAACCTTCAACCTTCAAAGTTGATACGCCGCGATATAGTCTTTTTGTGCTGAAGCGGCGTGTTGTAATCCCATGTAATCAATCAAAGTTGAAGTTGAATAGATGTTGAAAGATTAAACTTAAAATCCGATGATTCAACACGTGATCCTCACTTACCACTGCCTATAGTCAGGCCTGTGTTTCTGGTCACTTATTCGTGTAGCAAGTAATCAATGGAAGTGATAGAGAAGATCAATGAATAAATCAATTGTTTGCTTTCATTTATTTTAGTACTTATAACAATCCTTTTATAAGTAGTTTAACTGTATTAACCATGTTAATATAATCATCTAGCATTGATAGGCTTACGGCACTCTGTCTATGTGAACTTTTCAGGAGGGATTTTCGAAATTAACGATGATATCGATACCGTAAATTTGTCACCTTGGACAAGTTTAACAATATAGAAATCCACAGTCAATAACTTTGCTATAATTGCACTAAATTCAAGGATGTTCGCTTCTAATATTTTTCACTTTTCCTTATTATTCTTTTATTTCTCATGAAACAATGCTTCTCAGCAATTCCTTATTCTCAATGTTTTGCCGAAAATATAATACGTCTATTGGTTAAAAATTAAGATTTGTTTTATTTCTTATATACTTTTTGATACTATTGAACATTAATTGTTTCCATGCAGTTCAAACAAAAAATGAATAGACAGCTTTATCCCAGCGAAAATGATTAGCTGAATCTTGAGACAAGCACATGGGTCATTTTTGCATAAAACATATTACACATCTGTTAAAAATCCCAATTATGAGAATGTTACTAATTTGAATTTAACCAGCAAATATTCTTACAATGGTCAATTCTTAAGTATGAAATGTATAAAGAATAAATGTAAGACAATTTAAGATGTTGTAGAGTATCAATATTAATTCACAAGTATGTCGTTTGGTATGCCTTGGAGTTCGTGGGACAATCGCTAAAATGTATACATGCCTGCCTCCGGGTGCGGGATTTTCTCGCTGTGTTGAAGACCCATTGGTGGCCTGGGGCTGTTTTCTGCTCTTTGGTCGGGTTGTTGTCTCTTTGACACATTTCCCATTTCCATCCTCAATTTTATTGAGATCGTATTATATTTCATTTGCTTCTCCAATAATGTCATGAAAAAGACTATCATATAATTATTCTCATTTAATATAATCTCAATAGAAATTTCCTTTTAATATATATGACGTAAAAAAATTCTATATTTCGAAGATCGTCCAATGCAATTTTATAAATTACTGATCCTAGCACGTATGCTCTACTATGTTTATTCTGCATGTTTTCATAATATTGATTTATAACAAACTTAAAGATATAAGCAATTTACATATGAAAAACAATTCAAACAATACGATTATTTTGAATTGATGATCAACTTTTCTTGTTTCTACATTACGCATACAGGATCTTCCAAGCAACATTTAAATTTAGTCTGCATCTTTTCCATTATATTATTGACTTTTCTTTGTAAAAGAATTTTACAGAATTTTAAAATATGCACATATAATATAAATTATAAATTTGATTTAACACAGTGGTCTACGAAACCAAATAATTAAAATACCGAAAATATTAGAAATCCAAATAAACAACTGAAAAATACTGGATATTTAAATTAAAACAACAACTATCAACCAAATATCCTGTTTCATATATATCGAGATGTAAAAGAATTTATCTTTGTTAGCGAATAGATTCAATTGTAGTCAAATATTGATTTGTTCAATCCTGTCTCACTGCAAAATGCATTATTGCTAATCCAAATCATCAGGTTAATCATACATTATACCTTAACAATGTGTTCAACACAAAACAAAATCAGAATGAAAAAACACCATGAAGATGTATTGTTTTAAAACTCTATAAAGAACTATTTCACCATGCAAGGATAAGCAAATTGACGACTTGCAATTTTTATTATATCAAATTTCATTTAAAATTCTGGCGATAATATTAAGTATTTCAAAACAAGTTCAAATATCAGTTTTGAGTGCTTATTACTGTTAAAAGGGTGGTTCGTCATAAATAGTAATTTTAATCTTCCTATTTAGGACACTAGACTAGTATCCTTATTAACCATTCTTTTAATAAGCTTACTTGACTTTATTTCGATAGTACCCATGAATTTTGAGCACAAATTTTGGAGTTCAGAGAATCTGAACGTGTTCATAATTTTTCAAACTTTAACATGATTTATTGATAATTTTAAGAAAAGTCTTACTTTTACAGAATAAAAACCTTATTGATACAAATGACGATCGAAATAAAGTCAATCCCAGTTAATGGTGGAGTTCGTGCGGCTCAGTATTTATCTTCTTTTTTTTTAGCTTGCCTGAGGGAGTTGGAACCTTAGTTTCTTAGTAAGTTCTTAATTTATCAAAATGTCCTTTTGGTATTATGTTAAAGTTTACTTTAGACGAATTTTGCTTTTCTTTTTGGGATCCTATTTCGTCAAATAGCTCTTACTGATTCTATGAATTTACATATCCTTGGCTTTAAAATGTTAAAACGTTTGAGCGTTCCTGATAATATTAAATAAATAAAAAAAGCGCTTAAAAAAAATGAAAACAACACGTTATAAATTTCCTGCGTCCGAAGCGCTTTTCTGGATTTACCTTCATTAGAAAGTTTTGTTATAAATCATGTCAGGACCGAAGTACCGACTACTGAGCTGATGATACCCTCGGGGACTGATAGTCCACCAGCAGAGGTATCGACCCAGTGCTTAAAAAAATGAAAACAACACGTTATAAATTTCATGCGTCCGAAGCGCTTTTCTGGATTTCCCTTCATCAGGAATGCTCAAAAGCCAAATATTTGATAGCCAAGGATGTATAAGAACCTAAACAGTTGAAGAGCTATATAACCAAAAAGGACCTAAAAAATAGCCAAATCCATTTCTGGTCAACTTATCCTGAGGGAGTTGAAACCTTAATTACTAACAATTTCAAAATTTATTTACGGAAAATTTTAGAAAAATTTGTTATAAATCATGTCAGTACCGAGTATTCACTACTGAGCTGATGATACCTTCGGCGACTGATAGTCCACCAGCAGAGGTATCGACAAAGTGCTGTAAAAAATGAAAACAAACCGTTATAGATTTCATGCGTCCGAAGCGCTTTTCTGGATTTCGAACAATCGCAATTCATAAAGTGTTTATATAACTTTTGTGCTGTTCGGAAAGAAAATCTATATACTCCTGTTACAGTCACAAATAAAGCCACATTCTATATGTACCTGTCCTAAGTGATGAGTCTGTAATTCAGTGGTTATCGTGGGTTGCTGCCTGTTATACTTGTTTTTTTTTTTGTTTACTGATTTGTCATAAACTAGGCACTTTTTTCGTTTGAATTGTTTCAGATTTTGTTATGTCGGAGCATTTATAAAAGAGAGGCAGAAGATACAAAGGGATATCCAAACACATCAGTCTGAGATAAACCGGCAACGCCAAGGCAAAAAAAAATGAATAAGTCAAAAGGAAAATCAACGGTTAAGTAAACAAAACATAGAAAACTAAGGACTAAGTCGTACTAACTACACCAAAAACTTGGGTTGACCCAGGGGCTCTGGAAGGGTAGAGCACCTTTTGTTTCCATGGAAACGCCGATTGATTGTAGAAAAACACGTCCTCCAAACGTAATATATGGGGTTAATCAAGAAATCAAACATATTGATGGTGTCATTTTCAGACAAAAATTTGTTCAAATCAAAGTTTGTTTTTGTTTTTTTTATAAAATATATTTTATCACACCCTTAAACCTGCGTTAGCCATTCGTTTTAATGAATAAAGTTCACAAATTTTAAGTTTGAAATGGTGGATACTTAGCCTTGTGTAAAGGGTAGAAACGTCAACTGATTTTAGAAAACAAATCATATGCTCTAACAGTTCTTTGGATTTTTTAGTATCCACATATGATTTTCACAACCTACAGAGAAGTTGTTTCAGAATGAAATTTGAAGCACGGCTTTGATTGCTGATAAAATTGATGTTTAAAGTTTGGAAAGCGATTTTCTCGACCATTAATCGGCAGACCAAGCAATATTACGTTCTTGGTAAAGAAACGTATGTGACTCTACGTTATTGGATTTGGTCATTGTCGAAGGCCGCATGGTAACTATAGTAGCTTAAATCCACGCTATTTGAACTCTGATGGATAGTTGTGTCCTTGGAAATCCTACTACATATCTTTATCATACAAATCTTTCCTATTGCCGAACAAAACATTTTATACTATGCCAGCATTTCGTTGTCAGAATTTATTTCCTTTCCAAAATAGATCCTTTTGGAATAATCACGGTAATGAAGTTGCAGTAAACTCTCCATGAAATCTTTAAATCTAGTTAAGACAGACTAACGATTTGCTTGCTAAATTTTTATTAGATAAAATAGATAAAAAACACGGTTAGATATTTTACTAATTTAAATGTTTTATGTAACCGAAATGCAAACTCTAAAATAACAGACACACGTAGTTTGTTCTAAAGGTCAAACTTCTGCATCAGTATTTGATCGGAATCAATTCCGAAGTGCCATTTTTACACCAGGTTCGTTTATTTTGGTGAAGTAGATGAAACAATGCAGTAATGTAATATAAAATTCCGCATTCTGAATCAGTATTTGATCGGAATCAACTCTTTTGGGTCATTTTTACACCAGATGCGTTTATTTTGGTGAAGTAGATGACATTGATGTTCACAATATCTTTTGTATAAATCAGTGAAAGTGTTGGCAACAACCGCAATGGGCATGCTCAACAGGAACAAGCCAAAGGTTGCGCACACTGATGCTAAAATCTGTCCATATTTTGTTTTGGGGTAAATATCTCCGTAACCTATTGTTGTCATGGTGATGAGAGCCCAATAAAAACTGCTGATTGGATCCGTGAAAGGACCATTCATTTCTACAATGTGTATAGTTATCCCAAAAATAATGGCTGAAATAAGCAAAACCAAAATAAGCAAGGACAGCATCTTCTTACTTTGCTTTATCGACAGAAGCATTATGCGTAAACCTTCTATAAAACGCTCAAGACGGAAAAATCTGAAACCGCGCAAAATTACCAAAGCATACGAGAAAATGAAGACTGATTCGTTCGAGTCTGGAAAGGCACTAACTATAATGTGCGCAAAATATCCAAATACAGACATGATATCAACAATATTTAAAAAACTTCGAAAAAATTCTAATTTACACGGACAAGTTGCTAAACGTAGCGTTGTTTCTAATGTGAAAATCACGTTGCATACATGAGTTACAACGCCAATCCAGTTATCGTGATCAGTTAGACGTTCTTTCATGCTTTCCTCTGATGTCACGTTTTTATTTTCCTTCGTATTCCGTCCAGTTAACTCAAATGATTGTATTACTGATACAAGTATCGCTAGGCATACAACACTCAAGTAAAATATCTGCCATACCTAAAAAATGTAATAATACATGTAATTCTAATGATAAATACATGTAACTGAAAAGCTTGAATATTTATTTTATGTTATCTACAGTTATCTACTATTAGGAACAAATATTGTTGCAGCGTTGGTTAATCATTTATCAGAAGAACAATTTTCGCTTATGTTTGGGGCCTGTTAACTATTTCCTGCATGACGAGATAATGCAGAGATAAAGGACAGTTTGTGACAAATATCTACCTCCCTACAGATATCCTCGGGACCAAAATATTTTGAATATTCAATCGAAAACAAACGTGGAAGAGCTGATCAAACCAAAAAGGAATCTCAAGCATAGTCAAATCCGATCAAGGAATCAGAGTTTTGCATGAGGAAGATATATTTAATTCAAAATGATTTTCAAATTTATAACTGCAAATTTCAATCAAACAATATCCGCATATTCATGCCAGTACCAAAGTACTGGCTACTGGGTTAGAAATACCCTCGGGAACATACAGTCCACCAGCAGCCATACAGAACAAACGAGTATCCAACAACTAAATTACAAGAGAATAATGACAAAAATGAATGACGACTGTACAAAATACAAAGAATAATCGAAGAACATTGAAGAATTGGAAGTTAAAAACTGATCACAGGAAATAACAAAAATACAGAATATAGAAATTTTACGTGATACTAAAGACATATCATTTTTCCGTAAGTATATATCGTTATGGGTTCGTTTCGTCTATTTCAAAGATTCCTATTGATTATAAATATATTTTTATACACAATTTGTTTTCGTTAACATTATGATTTTTCTAAGAAATACACAAATATAAACATGAAGTACAACTGAAAGTTTATTAATGAGATCTTTTTTTGTTGTCTTGGTGGTATGAAGATGTTTTTATTATCCAAACAGCGACCTCCACATGTTTTGTTATTTTCATAGTATTCCAAACATTACGAAAGCAACTTTCTAAATTAACCTTTCAGGGACAGAAAAAAAAAACAGAAGAAAATGGTAACACCCCATCTAGAACCTTCGGTAAACGTGTTTTATCCATAGGGCATTGTCAACAGTGGGGATCAACTTTTTTAGAAATTCATGTAGTCGAAAACGGACTTTTGATCTGACCTATACCAACCCTCTTCGATTTTATTGACAAGTATAAGCTCTGCATCCTTGAACAGAGAAAATAAAATGAATCTATTTAGGCAGCCAAACAAAACATATATGAAAATAATTCTATACATTAAATTATGATAGATCGACTAAAGCTTCCAGTTTCTGATGTTTGTTTTTGTTTTGTTAAATTAATCCAAAAATGTCTCAAACTTTATTTATATACTACAGTAAAAACTTACTAATGCAAGATTCGATGACCTTGGATTTTCCAGTACATTCAATATTCTGCTTTTGACATTTGTAAGAGAGCTTTTCGAACTGTAACGAAAACAATTGTTTTGGAAAAAATATTTGTCGATAACATCGCAGGTCTTCAAGTCACTATCAACGGTATAGAAATATTTCCAACAACATGGGCCGAGATCAGTGGTTGATATTTCCCAAAATTCAAGCTCATCACGGATTTGCTCTACGCAGATGTTAGACAGAAAATGCAGTTTTCCTGTTCGATAATAGTCTAGTACCGACTGGAATATCACTGGATTTCTATCAAAGTAGTACACTTCGGTAGTTTTATCAAAATGTTCGCAGGTTTCAGAGATGTTCGCCAACTTTGTGTCCGGGTATCGTTGAAGAGTGCTCCTTTTAGTTACAAACGTTTGTCCACCGACATTTATTATTACTTTTTCAAACATCCTTGTTCGCTTTCTTCCGGCTGGTAAATTTTATAATCTATTTTAAAAATTGTAGTAACTAATGAACGGAAATTATCTACAATAATACTTTCCGATGTCCTCTTCAAAATAATTATATGTCAGTACACTACGTTTTCTGTATGTCCTTATTTTTGAACCACATACAGTAGATCATGTGACATGCAATAGCATAAAACATCGCCAACTACAAATGATTTGGATCGTGCAATATTGATATATTCTGCCGAATAACTATAATTTGTTCTACTCATTACACTATTAAAATTACTATTTATTTTAATAGTTGGTTTGAAATTCCGTGTTTAACTTAACTATATCAGAAAAAGATGAGACATCTCATGAAATTTTAATCATCATTTAGTACGCATTCTCATATATCTAAAATCTGAACTTAAATTTCCTTTATAATATCAACTGTTCCGTTTGAATTTCAGCGTTGTATTTAGCAATGCTCTTATCTACTCCTTGAAATTCGTGTATTGCCAATCAACTGATATCCTTATCATACTTCCATGATAAATTTGCATCAATATTTTATACCTTGTACTTAAGCATGAACATCCTGTTGATGAACAGCTTACACATTGTGTGATTAGAAAAATCAATTCAGACATGTTTTAAATTAAATATGTATTTTTCTGTTTTTTCATTGTTAGATTTTTACATTAAAACAATCAGGGATCTGTAATTCAACTATAGCTTCATATTTTGCAATTACATAAATAAAATCATTTGAAATGGAAGCCAACCAGGGGAGGCTTCTTATGAAGTTGAATTACTACGTCGTTGTACATTTCATGTTATATAATTTTTTTTTTATATCAATGCCGAAATCAATATCTGTTGAAAGCAAGCACCTCCATTTGCGTATCTTTACTTAATACAAAGCGAACAGAGACATCTAAGGTGAAAAAAACACAGACAGTTATATGAATTATGTAGACCTTTATTTTCATAGAAAGTTATATTTTTTACTTTAATCTGGGAATTCTTTAAAAGGGTATTGATACTTTGTGAGAAGAAATATAACCAATCCAAAAACAAAAAAAAACATGAAAAGATAATTTAAACAATTCAACGTAATTCATGTGAAATAACTGCATGTTGACCTCTAAATATATGTGTTCTACTTTTGTTTGGGTTGCTTCTTTATCTACGTGTACTCATTATCTCCTTTCACTTAAAGTGCATTGGTTATCTCGTTGTGTCGTTAAAATTGACAATGGAGTTCATGAGTAATAGCAAAGACTGGTCGGTGTAGAGTCGAATGGTGTACCTCAGTATGGCTTTGTTTTTCTTCGTTATGCTAGCTTGTGAGTTAGCCTCCAACAATCAAAAGTAGCGTGTCGGTCTAGTACAAGTAAAATCTATGGTACAAATTAGTGCAATGGCGAGTTTGCATGTGTTCATATCTCCATAACATGTTATCGTCAATACTAATGTTCAATTTGCCACTGGATATTAATCAGCAAAACTATAATTCAATCAATTAATCAGTGCTAATTATAGAACGCCAGGGCCGTCTTCCTTATTACGTCGTTATTTTTTTAGAATTTCTTATTTTACATTTACGTTATGTGTTTTAACTTGTCTTAAAGTTATGTACTTCTGTTTTTATGCTCTGTATAGTTAAACTCTTGAGTTATGTTGTTTTGTTGTTACATTATGTCGGTTTATATTTACGTTGTGCGGTTCTATCTCTCCTTTATTTGATTTCATCTTTATGTTAAGTAGTATCATGTTTACGTGCAGTGCGCATGTATACGAATTAATGCGTTATGAAGTTCTACAAATGTCATGTACATACGATTCCCTATTGCCCTTGCCGAGGATATACTATAAACCAACTAATTGTTGCGAGCGATTTATTTTCGCGACCTTTGCGAATATAAATTGTCACGAATACGTAACATTAGACCTTTCCATATATAATTACATCATGATAATAAAAAACAACGCAAAAATAAATTGATGCCGAAAAGCCGGAAAGAAAGGGCTAAACGCGAAATACAGTTTCCGCGAAAATAAGTTCGTTTACAATATTCATATTGATGATGGTTTGAATCAAAACAATATGTTATAAATTTAATATTAATACAAATATAGAAATGATATCAATAAACATAAAAGCAGGAAAGTACTACAACTGTGAATAGAATGTGACATTAGCAGGCATAAATCCTGTTTCTCCTAGTGTTCTAAGTCCAACTTGTCCAGTTGGTCCAATAGTAATCCATGTTATACTTCCATGATTAAGATGGAACCGTAGCCAAGTTTCTGGTGGAAGTTGTAATGCTCTGTAATAACAAACAAAAGGAACTTATTTTTTTGTCAATAAGGCTGCTCTCACAAGGCAGTTTTTTTTCATGGGAAAACAATGGAATCAAATATCCTGGAAAGACACTTTACCTACTTGTGTCTTCACCACAGACAAGTCCACAACAGTTCCAGAAACAACAAGACGCATCCAGTACCCATTACCGAACCTACCTATAACAGAAAAGGGGCTCTAAAACTGCTCATAGACGTGAACCAATTAAAAGTTTCTAGATCGGATGAAATCCCAAACTGAATACTCATTGAAAGTGCAAGTTAAATAACACCCGAACTGATAATAATCTTTTCAAATTATGCAGGCATTGCAGAGATCTAGAAAAGCAGGATTTTTTAAAATCATTAAATCGTCGACTCATATATGGCTACACATGCGAAACCCAGTCACAAGTCACTTAAAACGATCTTATGAAAGCATATACAACCAGACTCCAAACTGACATTGCCATCTTAGATTTTTCCAAAGCTTTTGACACCGTGCCCCATTAGAAACTACTATAAAAATTGACGAATATAGAATTAAGAGGATAATTTAACAACTAGCTAAAAATGTTCTTGACAAACAGTAAAAATGAAAGTGTTAGTAGAGGAAGAAGAACATGAAGACGTAACAATTGACTCGGGCGTTCATCAAAGCAGACTAAGGTTTAGAACCGTTACTCCTTCTGTGTTATATAAACAATATCCCGGATCCAGTCAGATTGTCAGTATGTGTCCGTTTAAACTATAGAACTACTTATTATTATTAGCCGATGGCTGCCTGCCTATTTGATAGAACCACCAAGATAATAAAATACCATGACATTCTTCACGAAGATCTTAAACATCTACTAGTAGAAGTAAGGACAAACAACTGGGGAATGAGGTTCAATGCTACATTATAAGCATACAAAACTAAACCCAGTAGTTGTATAGTTTAAACGGACACTTACAACTAGTCCAACATAACCCATGCTAATTAGGCCTAAAACATTTCAAAAATCTAAAATGGACGACTTATATATCCAACGGAAGAAATTTGAGATACTGCCCACAGGAAGGCAATGACAGGCATATAGTTTGCTATTCATATCTATGATGGAGTATGGAGCTATAGTATGGGACCTATACTAACTAAAAACATCAACAAGCTGAAAAGGGGTGTAGCGGCAGGCGACACACTTCATTACAGTAGACTATAAATTGAGAAAAGAAGGATGTTTCTCAAAACTGGAACTCCAAGAATTCCAGAAAAGACGATCATACTAAAGACTAATTATGTTTCACCAAGTAGACATGTTCTAGAACCAGACGAATATATCAAGAAAGCTAGTCCAAGAAAACAATTACTGTCACGAAGTTAAAAAATTACCATTCAAATAATGTTGTGGATAAAATAAGTAAAGAACAACACAAGGTGTTTTCACATTCCAACAAGCAAAACACATAAAAATATTCCGACTCTTTCTTTTTGTAAACAGAGATTGATTGGAACCATCGAGAAGACACTGTAGTTTGCGCACCAAGTGTTGAAAGCTTACAACTGATCTTGCACATCTTCAATAAATCGATGGCACTATCTCCACTGTTGTATTAAAGCCAGTATTGCGATCAACAACGTACTCATACACATACATATATTTATCTTAATATTCTAAGAAAGGGAATTCTACAGAGGAAGTGTTCATTTTAGAAATGAATTACTCTGTACATAGTTTTGCATTTTGTTGTATAATTTTTAGACAATATTTTGGTCGTTCTGTGGTATTCTATATTCTATGGTAAAAAGGAGCCCTGTGCTGATTCTATGCTCAAAGATAAGATATGATCAATATTTTGAATCTGTCTACAATGCAGATAAATCTTGAGTTCATTAAAACATTGACAGAAAAGGATAATCGTGTAAATCTACCAAAAAACAGGATAATGCAAAGAAAAAAGAGACATTTAATGAACCAAAACCCACAGGAAAATCTTGTGATATGCCTTGCAACAGTTCTATCCAAAATAGTGTTTTCAATTTTGAATTGAAATTATGAACTTTTGAATTGTTAAATTATCAATTTTTAATCGTTTCCTTGATTAATTTGTTATAAATGGACATGAATAATTACAGGTTTCATGTTTTTTATGAGGTTTTTCTGTATTTTTATGTGTATGAGGTAACATTTAGGTATCAGAACATTTCAGTTTTTCATCAATTTTTTTATAGTAATCATAGGAAAATTTTTATTTTCTGAATTTAGTTTCACCCTGCAAGCACTGAAATTAGAAAAGTGTGGATTTTTTTTAAGCCAGGTTATAACCCTCAAGATCTTTGATTGCAAAGCTGAAACTATTGGCCTAGCTAAAGTACATGTGACCTGTGCAGTATAAGGTAGATGCAGTGCATTATTCAGATAATAGATTATAATCGGTTATACAGTTATAACTCAATAATTTACATGAGCAATATGATGGGTGTAACATGTGGAGCAGGATCTGCTTGCATTGGTAAAGGGGTTCTTAGGATCCAAATTATAAGGTTCTCTGTGCCCTATAGTAATCATTCCGACTGTCTGTTCAGATCTCAGCAGGTTTATGTTGTATAATGAATAGATTTCAATATAATTTTTTTTATATCTATATTAAGTATATTTCTTTTTATTTTTTTTGAAATTGGAAATAATTGCATTTATCCTCATTGATCTTAGTTTTGTAAAAATAATATAAGTTTCTATAAACATATTTTTGTGCAACAATTTCAATGAAAATTTAACTACAGGTTTAAAAGGCTATTCCAAATGTGTTTGTACTGTCAAAAATTGATTTCCATAAAATCGGTAAGAAAGTTGAGGTAAATGTAAAAATTAAGTTTTTGTAACAAAATTTCTGGTATGCTTCGATTTCAACAAAAATTGATTTTTATGTATTACATGCTTTTCAAAACTTATTCCGGTTTTCAAATTTGCAGTAACAGCTAAATTTTGTTATGAAAATGAAAAAATTACCATTTTTTTGTGCTTTGATTTCAAAGAAAAATTATTTTGTAGGTATAATATGCTACACATAATTGATTTTGGAGTTTGAAAAACATCAATGTTAAAAATCTCAAATACTGACAAATTTATTTTGTGCTGCGATTGATATACCTAGGTATATAACATGCTATTCCAGATTTATTCTTGGTGTACAAAATTATATATCAGATAGTTGCCTAAAATACATATAATAGCTGTACTTGATCCATCATATTTCTGACTTGGTACATACATTTTCCAAAGAAAATGGTGGGTTTAACCTTGTTTTATAGCTAGCTAAACCCCCGAGTTGTATGACAAGTGTTTATTGTTCTGTTATATTACATAATCACAATTGGCTATAAACAAGATAAACAAAGAAATAGGATTGGTTGCTTGCAGTAACTATCAAAGTTAATTGTGTTATCTAAGTCGTTTTATTTGGATTTACTACAAAAAGGTGTATTTCCCAATAATCAATATAGGAAGAAATATGAATTATTTTGATCAGACAAATTGAGATTTATTTTTCACAAAGTACTATACACTGATATCTTCCTAATTAACTTTTTGCTAGTCTTTTTATTATCATCATAAAACAGATGTGACATCAGCAGGCATAAATCCACTTTCTCCTAAAGTCCGAAGTCCAACACGGCCAGTTGGTCTAACAGTAATCCAAGTTATACTGCCATGATTGAGGCTCAATCGTAGCCAAGCTTCTGGAGGGAGTTGTAAGGCTCTGTAATAACAAACAAATAGAAAGTTTTACTGCCATGATTGAGGCTCAGTCGTAGCCAAGCTTCTGGAGGGAGTTGTAAGGCTCTGTAATAACAAACAAATAGAAAGTTATACTGCCATGATTGAGGCTCAGTCGTAGCCAAGCTTCTGGAGGGAGTTGTAAGGCTCTGTAATAACAAGCAAATAGAAAGTTTTACTGCCATGATTGAGGCTCAGTCGTAGCCAAGATTCTGGAGGGAGTTGTAAGGCTCTGTAATAACAAGCAAATAGAAAGTTATACTGCCATGATTGATGCTCAGTCGTAGCCAAGCTTCTGGAGGGAGTTGTAAGGCTCTGTAATAACAAGCAAATAGAAAGTTTTACTGCCATGATTGAGGCTCAGTCGTAGCCAAGCTTCTGGAGGGAGTTGTAAGGCTCTGTAATAACAAACAAATAGAAAGTGTTACTGCCATGATTGAGGCTCAGTCGTAGCCAAGCTTCTGGAGGGAGTTGTAAGGCTCTGTAATAACAAGCAAATAGAAAGTTTTACTGCCATGATTGAGGCTCAGATGTAGCCAAGCTTCTGGAGGGAGTTGTAAGGCTCTGTAATAACAAGCAAATAGAAAGTTTTACTGCCATGATTGAGGCTCAGTCGTAGCCAAGCTTCTGGAGGGAGTTGTAAGGCTCTGTAATAACAAACAAATAGAAAATTATACTTCCATGATTGAGGCTCAATCATAGCCATGTTTCTTGGCTCTCTATCATAAAACTTTATTCAGTAGTCGAAGAATACAATTTGTGCTCAAAACATCAGATCCAGTATTTTGGTTGGTTAAATTTTGAGTATAAGTACGATAATCATACACAAAATTTTTATGGCCGCAAGACCTGGAGGGAATTGTATGGCTCACAAACACAACTGAAACAATCAAAGCAATTTCATCTTTCCTCCAGCATCATTTCATATTCAAGTTGATATTATAATGGTGGTAAAGCTGTGACCTGGTTCATAAGCAAATAAAAAAAATAATTTGAAAACATTGAGAAAAAATCCAAATTCACTACAGCATAAATTTCCAGGTTAACTGCTGACAAATCATAAAACTAAACTCTAACTGGAGATTAGTTTACTAAATATTCTTCTGTCTCTGTGGCCATTTTCACCGCTCTGATTAGGCGGATCATGATTTTTATGTACATGGTTTACACATTTAACTTTGGCATAGAATGTATCTGAACATCTAGATCTTGTACAGATGCATGTGTCATATACACATACAAAATCTGATACCTTTCAGGTTTTTTTTCCCACTTCTTACATTTCGTTCTGAAATATTTGAAAATATTCCTTCCTCAATATTTACAAATGATTTAAAATACTACTCCAACTTACAAGCAGTTCATGATAAAAGAAAATCAGAATATCCTGGAATAGTGAATATTTGACAAACAGTGTACTGGTAGATACGAATGTCCACTTTCTGAGCTACCACAATAATGTAAATGCTTCCTTCCTGCTTCTGGTATGCAAATACTTCATTAAATTTCAATATAATGTCTCTCTTTTCTATTCTCTTGTTCATATATAAAATGTATAACATTCAATGCAATGTTTTTGTTCCTTTTCTATTCTCATATTCAAATATTACATTTAATGTAGTGTTTTTGTTCCTTTTCTATTCTCATGATGAAAGACATCCTCAGCTGCATATATGTGTCACATCGTTCTTTATCAATGTTTTCTACTCATGTTTTCAACTTTTCACAATATTTTGTAACCTCTCATCCCTTTTCCTAGAATATGCATTTATACCACATCTTCTTATTTTGATACAACGAATTAATACTGATGCAAACATAGCAGAAAATGTTCATGGGGTATCTATTTTCATAAATTTTTACTCCAGGAAATGTCAACATAAATATTAAGTTTCATTAAATTCAGACCACTTGAATATTTTTATGCATTTTGGCAACAATTTCCAAAAATTATAATTTAAACTGTGATTTTAACATAAATGTTTTGTTCCAATTTCATAAAAATAAAATATTTAATACCTTTATCTCAATTTTGTTTGAAATGCTAACACAAAAAAATCATTGAAATCCTAGCAAAAAAGATCTTTCAATATTTTGGATTTTGGAACCAAAAAAAAAGTTACACTGCAATTTTTGCAAATTGTCACATAAATTAAAAGAGACCTTTATATAGGTATAAACACTGTGCAAAAAAAATATTGAAATTGGTTGAGGCATCCTGGTTTATCATACAACATAAAAGTGTTGACAAACGGGCAGACAGACTGTGTGATTTCTATAGGGCACTGCAAGCTAGATTAAGTGGGTGATAATAATTTGGATCCTAGGAACTAAGTATTGTATTACTGTAAAATATACAAATATACAAGACAGAAGCAATGTCATTTTAGGAATGCTTCTTTCAAAATAGTTATTAGAATTTAAAATGAAAGTTCTAATTAGTGTGATAAAAATTCCATCACATTTTTTTACAATAGACTGTTGACACAGAGTCTTCCCTGTCAGCAGAAAATTCAGAAAAAGACAATTTGATGGACAGCAACATTGCCAATTAATTCAAAGTTGCTGGACCATGAACTAGGGTGCAGGGTCTCGAAATAGTCAACAAACTGAGATTCAGTGAAAGTTCCTATCAAACTAACTTTAGCAGAAAACTTAACATTAAAAATTGGTAATTAACTGAAAGGCACTGGACCATGACCTACGGGGGCAGGGTCTGGAAATAGTTGTCGAACTGATATGTACTCTTTATAGAAAATATCATTGATCTATCACAAGAAGTTCCTATTAAACAACTTAAGCAGAAATCTTAACATTGTGAAAATTGCTAATTAACCCAAAGTCAATGGACCATGACCTAGGTGGCAGGACCTTGAAATAGTCCTCAAACTAATATGTACTGATAGTAATGCAACTTTATAGAAAATATCATTGATCTCTCACATGTAGTTCCTATCAAACTGTCTTAAGCAGAAAACTTAACAATTGGTGATGCTGATGATGACACCGAAAAAGCAACACCTATGTCTCGTCTTCTGTGACTTTCCTCGCAAGCCAGACAAAACTGATTATGTCACTGAAATATCTGAATTTGCATTATTGTTAAAATGTACTGTAGTATTTCTCAACCTTCATGATTAATGAAGGCCATGGTGAAACTAATATATTCAAATGACACTTACCTACAAACAAAATATCTTATAACATTGGCATGACATACAACAACTTCAAAGCTGTCTGTTTTTTGTTCTGGATCTGCTCTATGTACATATCGTCTAAATGCTGCCTCAATTCTAGCTCCATCCTGATAAAACTGCTGAAATGTAATTAGATATTCATGTCAAAGAGAGGCGAAAAATACCAAAGGGACATTCAAACTCATAAGTAAAAAAAACAAAACTGACAAAGCCATGACAAAAAGCGAAAAAAGATCAAAAGACAAACAGTATACAACAAGCATTCTGTGAGTATTGCATGGCAATACATAGTCCCCTACCGGTTAAAAAATTATTGTATTGGAACAAAATTCTAACTTGATCTATAACTCGCCATGGCGTAAACTATATAACAAATATCAAATCAATATCTTCAAGCATAACGAAAAAAAGTGCGGAAAACGATTATTTGAGTGAATTTTCTAAGTCCAAGGACCATAACTCTGCACAAAATCATCAGATCGGAACAAAATTCAAACTTGAACTGTAACTTGTCATGATAAAACTATATACCAATTATTAAATCAATATCTTCAAGAATGACAAAAAAAGTGTGGAAAACTGATTTTTTAGGGAATTTTCTAAGTCAAAGGACCATAACTCTGCACAAAATCATCAGACCGGAACAAAATTCGAACTTGATCTGTAACTTGTCATCATAAAACAATACACCAAATATCAAATCAGTATCTTCCAAGCATGAAGAAAAAAAGTGTGGAAAACTGATTTGCCGGACTGACGGATGGACAGACAGACAGACGGACGGAGTGCAAACCTAAAGTCCCCTTCGACTTAGTCGGTAAGGGACTAAAAATCATGTAAATATCCATATAGTCACTAATCATGCTAATGGAGATATGAATATAAATATATATGTGGTATGGCAAGTACAAATACTAAAAAAAAATTAATTCTTTTTTATATTAACGCTTTTCAGTTAGTTTTAAGGTGATTTTTATTGATGATTTTCTACATCATGTACATTGTATTTTGTATTCTTGAAAAAGATGATCTGAGTTTGACATATTCCAAAATACTCATATTTGCATTATTTTTTTACTTGTAAAAGTCGCAAAAAATAAATTGGTCCCAAAAATGTAAGTTGGTTTACTGTAAGAATTTTGTGTATTTATACACTGTATGTGGTCATCTATACGGTTATACATGTACTTATTCATGTAGATATTCATTGTACCTTCTCATGTATTCTTGCAGTTTTTCACTGACAAATATTTGGTTATTCATGTAGCTATTTATGTTATTATTCATTTATATTTTCACTGTAATAATTTACAAAGGTATTCATGTTAACAATCCTGCAGTTAAGTGTTATGCATAATCAAACTATTATCAAAGCATCAGACATAGTAATATCTAAATGTTGCCCTGTGAAAAAAAATCCTTATTATTTTGATGCTAAAACTTGCTATTTTATTAGTCCTTTGATTTATTTTTGCTAAAATTGTGTACATTATGGCAGGGTTGCCGTCTTCAAACATGTTTTACCTTGCCACATTCTTTATGTGCCTGTCCCACTTCGGGAATCTGTAGTTCAGTGGTTGTCATTGGTTCTTGTCTGTCATATTTGTTTTTCGTAAATTGTTTTGTTATTAATTAGGTTTTTATTTTTCTCAATTGAATTGTTTAATGTTTTTTATGTTGAGGCCTTTTATAGCCTACTATAGGATTTTTCTCATTGTTGAAGGCCTTACAGTTGCCTATAATTGCTTACGTCTACTTCATTTGAACTTTGGTGGATATTGTTGTATCATTGGAAATCATACATTGTCATACCACATCACCTTACTTTTATATAAATAAACTGCTCACTAAATTATATGGTTTACAACATTTTCTGTGAATAAATCTATTCCTACATTTTTCTCTGGTCTCCAGTTTCCAATAGGTGGTTCAGGAGGGATCGGTGCTCCTTCTCTTAGTATGTCTGTCTCCTCTCTCGGTACATCTGGTATACTTTTAGCAACAATGTCTGCAGTTTGTTTGGCTCTTGTCATTGTTGAACTGACCAATACTGAGTAATCGTGTCCCATTTCTTTTAGCCTTTGACCTGTCAAATCAGCTTGCTTTTTTCCTTAAATGATGAAAGGTTCATATAACATGTATAAATGAATATCTTTTCATAGATCTATATTTATCAACTTTTCTATTCATACTTATCATTCTTATAACATGTATTTGTTACCATGATTTAACAGCAGAGTAATTACGTCTGATTTCTTTGATGTTTTGACCTGCCAAAGGGACTATCTTTTTTTGTTAAATGATGATTGTAAGGTCATATAAATTAGTAAATGTTTTTATCTATTACAGATCCATGCTAAAATGTTTTCTATTGTATACTTCACCCTTCTGGAGAACCTGAGATCACCCCCCGTTTTTGTTGGGGTTCGTGTTGCTCAGTCTTTAGTTTTCTATATTGTCAACATGATTGTGTTTATTGTACGGTTGTTCTGTTTTTTTTTTGTTGTTTTTTGTTTTTTTGCCATGGCATTGTCAGTTTGTTTTCAACTTATGAGTTTGAATATCCCTTTGATATAATTCACCTCTCTTTTATCAGGCTCACTAAAAACAGATTCATAATTTTTCTATGTAATGCAAAATTATCATATTTTTACATGTGTGCTGGCAAGGAATAAAACAGTTGTCAATCAATCTTTAGAATAAAATAGTTGCATGGAAATACTGTAAATTCAGATATTATTACATGCATTTACTATGCAATTTTTGAAGAATGGACAAAAACGTGAAATTAATCATTGTGGTTTCAGGAAAATCTGCATACAGATAAATATATCAGATATCAGGATGCGAGTTCTAATCATTGCGATACCCACCCAGTCGTATCATTCACATCAATAAAACCTCGCAGTAATTTCTGAATTTAGGCAGGCTACAACTGGTCCCTTAACAATGCTTAAGGAACGTTAACACTTAAACTGTTATTGTTCATACCTAGTTCAGTGAGATATCTATCAAAGTCAGTTTTGCCATCTGTGTTGTATTGTCCATGTCGTATAAATAACAAATGTCTTGAAGCTGTTGGAGTTCTCTTCTTAATCTCATTTTCAACATCCTTTAAATCTTTTTCTGTTGTTCCTTCTGAAGATTTGTCAGGTTTAACAAGACTATTTGGATCTCGCCTTAAAAAAAGTATTGAAGATGATTATTTGCCGCATATTCAACCCTCAGATGATCACGATCAATATGCCTTTAATATACAGATCAGAGTATATTTCCACTTTTACCATATAAAATGAGGATGTGGCATGATAGCCAACAAGACAAATACCTTCCAGAGAATGAAAGTACTATCCATTTTCCTATTAGCAAGCTCAAATAACTTATTCCTTATGCTGTACATTCTGTCCGGCACTTCATGGGCATCCCGGTCGGGTCTGACCGTTGTATAAATACAGCCATCTCCAACGTCCCCAAGAAAGCCCAGATAGATGCCAACTAGACAACTGGACTTTTAGAATGTTCCAATAAACAAGAACAACAAACTTAACACTGGTAAGAATGTCTACCACCAATATGGATAAATCTTGTCATATTTATCATAAATAGCTTATTAAAGGGGCACTAGCTACGAGATATAAAAAATTACAAAATATGATTTTTTTTGTTCAATCATTAATGAAAGTGGAATAGTGAAATAATAATTCGCTTTTAGCAGCCAGTATTGTCTAATTTTGTCAAAATAAGCAAATAAATATTGATGATGAATTATTCACTTGCAAGTGAATAATTCGACCTCATTGAATCCGTATTCATGTGAACTTCAATTTAACCCCTTAGATAGAGTTGGATAACGCATGAATTGTGTGCATGTTTGATTATTTAAAGGATAAGAATGTCAACATTGAAAGTAAACAAAGGTAATTCATTTAATTGACTGATTCGATCCTCAAAAAAATCATTCTTATACAGGTAAAAATGATGATTAACATATATTTTTAATCTATAAATGAAATTAAATAGACCTAGAAGAATCCAATTGCACGAGTTGCGCTATCTATTTATATCTTTATTTATGTTTATATCCCTTATATGGGCATCGGTGGTTTTCGGGAGGTCAACTCCACAGTTAATTAGATGGCGTCTAGACTTAATTACACACAAAACGAAGCTACATATTATCGACCCTATACCCTGTAAATTGTTAATTTTAGATTTTTTATAATTTTGATAAATGTTTTACATTGTTATATAACAAATATGAGAATTTGAGTCAAATCGGTGAACATGAATTTGACAGCTAGTGCCCCTTTAAGGTAACACAAAACAAAAGCAACTAAATTTTATCAAAATTTCATTTTCAGCTATTTTTGTTACTTCTTAATCATGTTAATATTACAAAACCTCTATATTGGAGCTGCCAGGAGAAAAAACAAAACAATAATTTGCAGCTATAGAGGGAATCAAATATAAATGTACAGATATTAAACAAATATAATTGTACAACAATTAATGTTGCTGATGGTCATTTCAGATTTTCTTGAGGAGAATGTCAGTCAGGGGTACTTCTTGTACAAGTAATCTTTATTTACTTGAAGAAGTAAAAAATAACATACTTATATAAGTTAATTATAATGTTTGAATAACCTCCCCTTAATTTTCTCAAAAATTCACTTGTATAAGTTAATTTTTTTTACAACCCACAAAAATTCTCAAGTTTCCAGATGTAAAAACATGCCTTTAATGATTTTTCCCAGGTTAGCTCTCAATTTTTGATTAGAGTTCAATGTTTCAGCTCATTAATTCAACAAAGAAACTGATTGGGCAAAGATCTTAAGTATTTGCGAAAGGCTTTCAAAAATTGCTCCTTAGGGGCTTGTAAATGAGCAGTGTTCTGAAGATAACAGACAAATGAGATTTTTATTGTCCATGAAATTAAACTTAAATGATTAGTTAAGACATCTGCAAAGGACAGACAATTTAAAATTCTATTAGAGCAAAGAAGTCATAAGAATTCAAGAAAAGAAGATAGGATGATTTTTTCACTTATATAAGTAAAAAAATCTGAATGTCTAAGGGACATAACTCAGCCAATTTTTTTTTACCTATACAAGTAAATAAAATACACTTGTATGAGTATCCTAAAAAATTACTGATATTATAAGTACATGTATATTAATATTACTTCTTCAAGTAAATAAAAATTACTTGTACAAGTAGTACCCCTGACTGAATGTGTAAATATGAATTCTTTTTAAAAGAAAACATAAATTAAATATTTCATTTTCAAACTACAAAAAAAAGAAACTTCTACTTTGTTTTAAACTACATATTTTTATTGTATACAATTATAAATCTAGAAACCCCCCGTAAGAATCCTCTAGACTGACCATCTGATGATTTTATGTACACATGCATAACTTACTTTTTGGGAAAATTTATGTTAAAAACAAAATATATTGTTTCATGTACTAATTGAATAAAAAATCCATATTGAAATAAAATGCTTCGCTGGGCGCAGCTTGATACGACCGCAGAGGTCGAACCCTGAACAGTTGGGGCAAGTATGGACACAACATTCAAGCTTGATACAGCTCTGAATTTGGATTGTGATTAAATATTTGACACAGCATAGGTTTCTGACACAGAAAGAATGTGGTCTAAGAACTTCAATTTTTTTTAATTTACCTATTATGGTCCAATGTCCAAAATCAAAATACATGGTTAGATTCAGCATATCAAAGAACCCCATATATTCAATTTTTGTTGAAATCAAACAAAGTTTAATTTTGGACCCCAACTTGGACAAACTTGAAAACTGGTCCCATAATCAAAAATCTAAACACATGTTTAGATTCAGCATATCAAAGTACCCGAAGAATTCAATTTTTGTTAAAATCAAACTAAGTTTAATTTTGGACCCTTTGGACCTTAATGTAGACAAATTTAAAAAACGGGACCCTAAATTAAAAATCTAAAAACACAGTTAGATTTGGCATATCAAAGAACCCCAATAATTCAATTTTTGATGAAATCAAACAAAGTTTAATTTTGGACCCTTTTGACCTCAATATGAACCAATTTGATAGCGGGCCCACAAATAAAAAATCTAAAGACATGGTAAGATTTAGCATATCAAAGAACCCCATATATTCAAATTTTTGTTGAAATCAAACAAAGTTTAATTTTGGACCCCAATTTGGACCATCTTGAAAACTGGGCCAAAAATCTAAAATCTAAATACATGTTTAGATTCAGCATATCAAAGAACCCCATATATTCAATTTTGGTTGAAATCAAACAAAGTTTAATTTTGGACCCCAACTTGGACCAACTTGAAAACTGGTCCCATAATCAAAAATCTAAACACATGTTTAGATTCAGCATATCAAAGAACCCCAAAAATTCAATTTTTGTTAAAATCAAACTAAGTTTAATTTTGGACCCTTTGGACCTTAATGTAGACCAATTTAAAAAACAGGACCCAAAATTAAAAATCCAAATACACAGTTAGATTTGGCATATCAAAGAACCCCAATAATTCAATTTTTGATGAAATCAAACAAAGTTTAATTTTGGACCCTTTTGACCTCAATATGAACCAATTTGATAGCGGGCCCACAAATAAAAAATCTAAATACATGGTAAGATTCAGCATATCAAAGAACCCCATATATTCAATTTTTGTTGAAATCAAACAAAGTTTAATTTTGGACCCCAATTTGGACCAACTTGAAAACTGGGCCAAAAATCTAAAATCTAAATACATGTTTAGATTCAGCATATCAAAGAACCCCATATATTCAATTTTTGTTGAAATCAAACAAAGTTTAATTTTGGACCCCAACTTGGACCAACTTGAAAACTGGGCCCATAATCAAAAATCTAAACACATGTTTAGATTCAGCATATCAAAGAACCCTAAGAATTCAATTTTTGTTAAAATCAAACTAAGTTTAATTTTGGACCCTTTGGACCTTAATGTAGACAAATTTAAAAAACAGGACCCAAATTTAAAAATCTAAATACACGGTTAGATTCGGCATATCAAAGAACCCCAATAATTCAATTTTTGATGAAATCAAACAAAGTTTAATTTTGGACCCTTTGGACCTCAATGTGGACCAATTTAATAACGGGGCCCAAAATCCAAAAACTTAATACACGGTTAGATTCAGCATATTAAAGAACCCCAAGAATTCAAGAATAAAACCCCATTGAAATTGATCAAGAAATAAGCAATTTATACGAAGTATCTTCTTTTGCACAATACTGTGCAATTGAATATTTCTTGCTATTGCGCAATACTGTACAATTGACAATTTCTTGCTATTGCGCAATATTGTGCTATTGGATATTTCTTGCTATTGCGCAATACTGTTAAATTGAAGATTTCTTGCTATTGCGCAATACTGTGCAATTGAAGATTTCTTGCTATTGTGCAATACTGTGCAATTGAAAATTTCTTGCTATTGCACAATACTTATTATATAATAATTTACACATCCTGTTTGGTGTGTATCTCCTACCATATCATTATTATTTGCTTTTAAATATAAATCAGAAATAACCAACTTAAAATGGAAAATTTTAAAAGAAAAAAAAAAGGAAAAAAAGAAAAAAAAAAAAAAAAAAATCCCCCCCCCAAATGTTTTGAACCCCCTTATGATTCATCACCCCCAAACTCAATCCAAGCCTTCCCTTTGTGGTATGGTACCTTGCAGTACAATTTCAGAGAGATCCATACACTTGAACACAAGTTATTGTCTGGAAACTAGAAAAATGCTTATTTTTGGCCCCTTTTTGGCCCCCAATTCCTAAACGTTTCGGGCAATTACCCCCAAACTCAATTCCAGCTTTCCCTTTGTGATATGGAACCTTGTAGTACAATTTCAGAAATATCCAAACACTTACACACAAGTTATTGTCATGAAACTAGAAAAATGCTTGTTTTTTGCCCCTTTTTTGGCCCCTAATTCCTAAAATTTTGAGGCAATTACCCCCAAAATCAATTACAGCCTTCCCTTTGTGATATGGAACCTTGTGGTACAATGTCAGAGAGATCTATACACTTACACACAAGTTATTGTCTGAAAGTTACAAAAATGCTTATTTTTGGCCCCTTTTTGGCCCCTAATTCCTTAACTGTTGGTACCATAACCCCCAAAATCAATCCCAACCT